AACTACCTCATCCTGTCTCTGGCTGTGGCTGACCTGCTTGTAGGAGTTGTAGTTTTTCCTTTCAGCATGGCATTCTCTGTAACCTCATGTCTGTTTAATGAGAATTTATTTTGTAAAATACGAGACAGCTTTGATATATCACTGTGCACATCTTCTATTCTGAACCTATGTTGTATTTCTATAGACAGATATTATGCAGTGTGTCAGCCTCTGACATACAGAACTAAGATAAATGTTCATGTTACTGTGATAATGATCCTGGTGAGCTGGAGTGTTTCTGTTCTAGTTGCAATTGGCATCATAATTGGAGGATTCAGTCAAGGATCATGTGAAGAAATGTGCTCAGTTCATATTGTAATATCAAACACTATGGGACCTATTTTCTCATTTTACCTCCCAGCAATCATAATGCTCTGTATCTACCTGAAGATTTTCCTTGTTGCACAGAAACAGGTGAACAGCATCCAGAGCACAAAGTCTGGAGCAACTGTCAGTAAGATGGAGAGAAAGGCCACCAAAACTCTGGCTATAGTTATGGGAGTTTTTCTCTTATGTATGACTCCTCACTTTCTTTATCTTGTTTTTCTGCCATTAGCCCATGAAACCCCTCCACTTCCTGTGATTGAAACACTTAACTGGCTTACATTGTCAAATTCAATGCTGAATCCCTTTATATATGCTTTCTTTTACAGCTGGTTCCGATCAGCCTTTAAAATGATAATTTCTGGAAAAATATTCCAGGGTGACTTTGCTAACTCAAGACTGTTCTGATATTTTTTTTTTACAAGTTATAAAACACTCTCAATTTATTACTGAAGCCTCTATATTACCTTACTAATCTAGAGTTTAAATTTTAACATGCCAATAAACATTTCACTGCTGAAATACGAATTTATATGCCTATACTTTGTGTACATTTTTATATAGCCAATATAAATAATATAAACACCAATTACAACAGCAACACTTTTTTTAATACAGTGTTACAAGATTTTACATGAATACTTAAACAACAGTGACTAAAAAGCCAAAAAACATTGATAAATCACAAGGCTACAAAAGGAGGAAATTAATAGCTTGGATCAAAATTCATTATATCATTACTTTTTAATAAAGGTTTGTTTCGAAAGGTTTTTGTGATTGATGGTCCAACCATCATACTG